CCCCCGGACATTTACCCCGCAGGCATTTAGCCCCGGACAATCGCCCCCCTTATCTGTTGCAATTTTGCAACCTCTTCAGTTGCATTGTCCTCCATAGCACGCTGCAGATACAGAGGTAATGAGTCATACACGAGTTTTCCTTCAAGAAGAAACCGCTGTAAGCCTTCGACTAAAGCCTGCAGGAGTTTAGAGAATCGACCAGTGCCTATAGAGAGCCACTGCAGCTGTTCTTTGACGTACTCCCGTGCAAGGCGCTTGACATCTTCTGTCGGATGGTCTTGGCTAATGAGGCCAGACTTGTGAAATGCTTGAAGTATTGTCGGCGAGCTATACAAATCAATCTTGGTAACAAAGTTCCCCATTGACAACATGAGATGAATTAGAAAGCGAAAAAAGAGTGTGGGTGTGAATTGTGTAAATACGACAACATTTCTCTTGGTTTTTGACACTTTTTGTGACATCGGCAAATCGAATGTTAAGCGGGTTGGGGAATGGCGCTATAGACGGAACAACACCAACACCCAGCTTGAGATTCGAGATATATGCCCTTTTATTGTGATCAATGGGAGCGTCGTTACATCCCGGTAATATCCTGTGAAATACATAATTTCAACATGGATAATACTGTCATATAAAATATATAACAAAAGTGAAAGTATCACGCGTTTGTTCATACATACTTATGACAACAGCACTTATACATATAAGGCTAGATCAGCACTTAAGATGTCTCTTACAATACTTCAAGATGTCAAGAGGCAAGCTAAATCAATGACAACTTTAACTCGGCTTAAAGTTACACCCGAGTTATCCAGGTTTATATCCAGGAAATGTATTCCTATGTTTCTTCATAACAAACACTAACAATAAATGGTGAAAAATTACTAATCATTCAATTACAGACAATATCTATAATTATTAATTACCAATGGTATCAATTAAATGAAATTACAGAGGAGGTGTAGGTATCATACATAACAGTGTTAACATGGTTCTCACCCCCAGCAATGGTACGATACTGCTACTGTAGCGCAGCTACACCTAGCGGGTCACATCAGAAAGTAGCGTCTCACACGATCCAAAAGTACCTAACATTACAAAATAACAGAAAACAGCTTTATGCTTCTTATGCATTTATAACTAAGTCTCGATCGGTAACCACTACAACGTACCATACAAATTTAAAGACGTTTACAAAGAGCGCATCTCAACGCACATGTTACGTCATGCTAAGTCACTCGTTAGTACAAGAAATACACAAATCAATACAATAATCATTAACTTTTACAAAATGAACCGTTACAGACTTGCAGTAACTACTCATACTACGGATGACAACTTCCCAAAGAGATACTCACAGTTTACAAGTGTTGTTAACAATCTTTTCAATAGATTGAAGTAAACAATGACCTTTCGGTGATTGAGATATGGCGGCGCACACCAGCCTACACGCTGGTCAGAGCATCATGGGTAAAACAGTGTCACAACAATTTCAGCGTAACGACCTATTTCCAGAGGAAGGCGAATCAACAATAAGCTATGACTTATTACTAGTAAATAATAGCTATGAAGTATAATCGGTAATTCTACAGATTTAAGAAAAACATGAAATTCTAGGTACAGGGTGTAACCATGGGAACAACACGTAGCATCTGTAACCTCAGCAAGAAGCGGCGTGATCCTCGTCCTGCGTGGTGTGTTCTGTAGTCAGGAAGGAGGCAGCAAGCGGCGTGATCCTCGTCCTGCACTGTGTATCCTGGAGTCAGGAAGGAGCCAGCAAGCGGCGTGATCCTCGTCTTGCGATGTGTATCCTGGAGTCAGGGATGAGGCAGCAAGCGGCCTGATCCTCGTCCTGCGTAGACGTCTCACTGAGTTCCGCTACACCCTACATGCTCAGCTAGCAGGGCGGACAAGCCACCAGCAGCTAGAGAGCAGTGGGAGGGTGCGAGCTTCCCTGACTGAGCCGAGCTGGCTCCGCGCTGTGTATCATTGCGTCAGGATACGGGCAGCAAGCGGCGTGATACTCGTCCTGCGCTGTGTATCCTTGCGTAGACTTCTGACCGAGTTCCACTGCACCCTACATGGTCAGCTAGCAGTGCGGACACGCCACCAGCAGCTAGAAAGCAGTGGGAGGGTGCGAGCTTCCCTGACTGAGCCAAGCTGGCTCTGTGTTGCTTTGGTGCTGGACGCCGCAGCTTATATACAGCCGTGGGACACCACGTGGTCACAGTCATGTGACCCCCACGTGTGACCTGTAGGTGTCCCGTCGAATTAAACTATAGGTCAAGTGGTGCAGCATGGCTTTCATTTCCAATCCGCTGCTAGCCCACGTGGCTACGAAGCCGTGCGTCTTCAACGTTGAAGTAATGCTGACGCATGCTATAGTGTATGTTGTATAGCGGGTCGAATTCGCTACACATGAAACATCGCTATTGCATGAGAATCACTGAAGAACTGCTCCGTCAATCACGCGAAACGCAAGAGAAATTTAACGACGGCGAAATATACAGCTGTGTCTGCATAGTTCACAAATCCCATTGGTTTATACAAATCACGTACCTCAAACTCCTGTTTTATGGTGCATTGTGACCCTAACCCTAACCCTAACCCTATAAACAAAAAAAATTATTTGTTGTCATCAAATTGTTGTAAATAAATCATGTAAATATGGATAAACATAGAAAAATACAGCAAACAGGAAAATCATGAAAAAACAGATGGGATTCGATCCAACGACATTTCAGCCGTGTCGTCTCTGCTCTAGGCGTTCAGCTATTGAGGAATTAGGCTTTTGTGTTATGGATGTGCCTTGACAACACTGTGGCGTCATTGAAAAATTTGAGGCACGTGATTTGTATCAACCAATGGGAATTCGGAGGGCCACGTCACCGAGTAGACATCGTGAGTGGCATGCGGTGGGCGTAGTCATTGAGGTAATTAGGGTTATTTAAGTTATATTATAGTTTTTCGTGCGCTTTTAAATGCCAATCAACGATGCTACGATGACATGCTTACCAGCAAATGCTGTGTCAAGTCAGTCACTGTTGCCCCCGAATTCAGATTAGACGAATCTCCATGTGAAATTCCCATATGTAATTCCCTGTTTTGTATTAAATTGCCAGTAGGGGAGCGTGCCGCTGCATATATTAACTCAAACCTTTGGTTTGCACAAGGACGGGCCGTCCGGGGGCACCACTAGTCCAGGAAATGTATTCCTATGTTTCTTCATAACAAACACTAACAATAAATGGTGAAAAATTACTAATCATTTAATTACTGACAATATCTATAATTATTAATTACTAATGGTATCAATTAAATAAAATTACAGAGGAGGTGTAGGTATCATACATAACAGTGTTAACATGGTTCTCACCCCCAGCAATGGTACGATCCTGCTACTGTAGCGCAGCTACACCTAGCGGGTCACATCAGTAAGTAGCGTCTCACACAATCCAAAAGTACCTGACATTACAAAATAACAGTTGGAAAACAGCTTTATGCTTCTTGTGCATTTATAACTAAGTCTCGGTAACCACTACAAACGTACCATGCACATTTAAAGACGTTTACAAAGAGCGCATCTTAACGCACATGTTACGTCATGCTAAGTCACTCATCAGTACAAGAAATCCACAAATCAATACAATAATCATTAACTTTTACAAAATGAACGTTACAGACTTGCAGTAACTACTCATAGTACGGATGACAACTTTCCAGAGAGATACTCACAGTTTACAAGTGTTGTTAACAATCTTTTTTTAACAGTTTGAAGTGAACAATGACCTTTCGGTGATTGCAATATTGCAGCGTACACCCCCCTACACGCCGGTCAGAGCATCATGGGTAACACAGTGTCACAACAATTTCAACGTAACGACCTATTTCCAGAGGAAAGCGGATCAACAATAAGCTATGACTTATTACTAGTAAATAATAGCTATGAAGTATAATCGGTAATTCTACAGATTTAAGAAAACCATGAAATTCTAGGTACAGGGTGTAACTATGGGTACAACACGTAGCATCTGTAACCCAGCTTCGTTCTACGGAAGCCTGTCTCGACAATAATACCGCACGCCTATTACACTCCCCTGCCAAAAACTAGCTGTCTCAGCAGTTTACACAATATAGGTCCTACCGTTACCTTATTACAACCATGACAAAGTTACATGTTGCTGGGTTTTAAGCCGGTTAACATTCTTGCTAACAACAGTTGTGTCTGTACCATATTGTCTATCGTTTGACGGTCTACGTTCTGCTCTGCGGCGCACTCTTGGGCCATCACAGACTTTGGGAGTCTGTTTGGATTAGGGTGCAACCCTGCCGTTGTTCGTTGACTTCTTCGGGGTTCTTCATCAAGTTCAACCGTAGTGGGGTTCGCAGCCTTCCCTGCTGAACTATCAGCCATACCTTGGAAATTTCGAGGGCTGAGGGAATCCGCCTGATTGGTGGTAGTTCCAGAATCAAGAGTGTCAATGATGATCCTATATTCTGTATACGGTAGTCATTCTCCTCCTCGAGGTCTTCCTGTGGCTGCTCACAAGTGGTATGTTTGGGTGTCTCATCAAGACTACTTGCAAGCTTGATGTCCTCCAAAAGGTCCTTTGCATCTAGCAAGTCGATGGCAGGACTTGTGCTCCTTCGATCCACTCAGAGGTTCCACCAGGTATACATTATGGCTGATTTTCCTGATGACCCTGTGTGGTTCTGATTTTTAATGGTCTTGGATCTTGTGTCTTCCAACCACTTTGTTTCTCAGGAACACTCGATCACCTATCTTCAATGGATGCTCCTGGGTTGTTTTGTTGTAATGTGTAGCACGTTTCACAGCTTCATGCTCCAACTGTCCACTTGCCAGACTGAAACCATTCTGCAGCCTTTGCTGATGTTCAACAACCCATTCAGTTTCCAAAGTTGTCTCCTCTTTCAGTTTGTCTTGTCAGTTTTCAGAATATCATCAACCGGGAGTCTGAGTTCTTGCCCAAAGAACAGATAGTAGGATGAGAACCCCGTGGTTGCATGAGGTGTGACATTGTAGGCATATACCATCTCCGGTAACAGCTGCGGCCACTTCCTTTTCGTCTCAGGAGGTAAGGTACTAAGTAAGTTGTGAATGGTGCGATTCAATTGGCCGTTCTGTTCAGGGTGATATGGCATAGTTCTGGTCTTAACAGTTCCATAAATGGCATATAACTCCTGGATGATCTTCCCTTCAAAGTTTCGCCCTTGGTCGCTGTGTAACCTGCTGGGTATACCAAACCGGATGAACCAGTCTCTTACCAGCACGCTTGCAACAGTCTTTGCTGTTTGATCTCTGGTTGGCACCGCTTGCGTGTACTTAGTAAAGACGTCAGTGAGGACTAGCACATTTTCCACGTTTTCAATACCAGGCTCTAAGACAGTGAAGTCCATGGATAGTATGTCCAAGGGTCTCTGTGCACATAGTGACGTGATAGTTGTCTTAAGGTTTTTCCCATACTTTCTAAAAAGACAGCGGGTGCACTTGGAGCAGTATTCCGTGACGTCATGTGTCATGCAAGGCCAATAACAACGTTTGGCTAGAAAACCCAGGATCCTCTTCGGGCACTGATGTCCCATGGAATCATGGAATAAAGACAACACATCTTGCTTGAGAACAGATGGCAGGATAACTTGTCTGAAAAGCTCACCATCTATCTGGACACTCAGTACGTCATTACGTTCCGTCAAACGGCTCCAGGAAGATACCAGTTTCTTCACTTCAGGTGTCTCTTTCCTCAAGGATTTGGCAACAGGGAACCGCTTCTTCAGTCTGAACTCCCTCAGACGTGCAATGACAGGATTAGTTGACTGGAGATGCTCCAGCTGCTCACTTGACAGCGATGGTAAGGATGATGCTGTCACAGGGTGAGATGGTATTCTTTGAGGTTGGACTCTGACTTCTTCTGCCCAAACCCTGCTAACCAACTCTTTAATCTGGTTTCTCAGGTCAGTAGGAACTGTTGTAGCTGCTGATGGGCTCTCTTCTAGGAACTGTACCGAGACTTCCTCCAATCGGCTGGTTTCCGGACAATGTTGCGTCTTTCGACTCAACGAGTCCGCATTACGGTTGACTTTCCCCGAGCGGTGTTTAATCTTCAGGTCAAACTGTGCAAGTTGTCCTATCCAGCGCATCTCAGTTGCCCCCAACTTTGCAGTCGTCTGGATGTAACTTAGGGGATCATTGTCTGTGTATACAGTACATTTCGCACCGATCAAGAGGTCTCTGTATTTTTCGGAGACAGCCCACTTTAGTGCCAAAAGTTCCAACTTCATACTTGAATAGCGTTCCATATTCTTCTCAGCTTGTCGTAGACCTCTGCTGGCATAGCTAAGTACAACAATCTGATTGTTCTGCTCTTGGGAAAGAACAGCTCCCAGCCCAAGATGACTTGCGTCGACTTCTAATATGAACGGTTCAGAGAAATCAGGGTAACCCAAGATGGGTGGGTTAACAAGCCTCTGTTTCAACTCCATCATTGCCTGGTCACATTCTTCATTCCAGCCAGATACTCCAAGTGGGACAGCTTTGGACTTACGTTTCTTAGTAGATCTCGGACCTGTTAACAACTGATGAAGGGGAGCAGCAATTTTGGCAAAACCCTCAATAAACCTCCTGTAGTATCCTGTAATCCCAAGGAACCCACGTAGTTCAGTGTCAGTCTTAGGTTTAGCCCACTCTTGGATGGCAGATGTCTTGTCAGGGTTAGGCAGAATACCTTCCTTTGATATTACGTGTCCAAGGTAGCGGAGCTTGGTCTTGAAAAGCTGGCACTTCTCCGGTTTCACTTTGAGATTCCAGGATCTCAATCGTGTAAGGACCATGTCGAGGCGCTCCAGTGTCTCTTCGTAAGTTTTGCCAAAACACAGCATGTCATCTAGGTAGACGATCAATGTCAAGAAATTCTGGTCCCCAAATATCTTGTCTATTAATCTCATAAATGTTCCCGGTGCTCCCGTGAGCCCGAAGGGCATTCGGGTAGCGTCATACAGTCCACTTGTACCTACCCTAAAAGCTCTCTTCTCGATGTCCTATTCTCTGACGACGATCTGGTTGAAACCGTGCGCCAAATCTAAGGAGCAAAAGTATTCAGCACCATTCAACACATCAAACGTCTCCTCAAGTCAAGGAAGCGGATATGCATCCTTCTTCGTCTTGGCATTCAGCGCTCTGTAGTCACAGCAAAGATGAAGCTTTCCATCTTTCTTCCTGACTAACACAACAGGAGCAGCATACGTGCTTGAAGACTCTCTGATGATCCCAGTATCTAATGCTGACTGGAGGTACTCCCTAACTTCAATCCAAAAGTGAGGAGGAACACGTCGGTGAGGCACTCGGATGGGAACCTCATCATCTGTTATTATACGGTGTTCCACAGCATCGCAGTATCCTATGTCATTGTCACCGGTACTGAAGACTTCAATGTGCTTCGAGATCAGATCCTTCAGTTGAGCTCTCCTCTCAGTTGATAAGCTGTCACTGACATCCATCTTACTGAGGAGTCCTTCTGCCACATGCGGGTCATGATGGGTCCTATACTTTTCTAACTTATCTGAAGACTTGTCAACAACGATGGCTTTATTACCAGTCAACAATAAACTTGTGCCAGGCTCGACAGTTGCTGGTTTCAGTATTCCAACTGGTGTTCGAGGTTTAAAGTACATGTCTCTGTCTGTGAAGTTTGCAACTTGGAACGGTATCCTTCCATTTCTACCAACAGTCACTACTGACGGTCCTACCTTCAGTCTTTTTGGCAAAGTTGGTACTTGAACACCTATTTCTTCAACAACACCAGTAAATGGAGCTGTTTCTCTGGATCTTGTTGAACCCTCAATGACTTTCAATGACCATGCGGGGACAAGTACAGGCTGGTTTCCTGCAACTCGTACTCTTCCAGTTTTGACTACTCCCGTTTCTTCATACAGAGACAGGATCGTTTTTCACTTAGGTCCTGGGACATCTGATGGTATGTTTCTGCTGATGTCTCAAAGAACGTTGGATCCTAAAACTCCAGGAATCTCCCTCTTCCTTGCTTGTATTGCATCATCGTCAGGGTCCTTAACAACAAGGAAACCCATGTTTGAAAAGTGTAGCCTAATACTTTCACATCCAGCTCAATATACCCTATGAACGGAAGCTCTCTGCCATTTGCAACTGTTATTCGGAAAAGTCCATCAACATCCACTAAGTCGCGTTTCCCTAACAGGTTCTCCCTGTACCACGATTCATTGATAGTTGAAACCTGTGCTCCAGTGTCCAACAGACAACGCACGTCCTTCCCTTGTAACTCCACTTCTGCTTCTGGGCAAGTTCCTACAGCATTGTTCAATATTGAGCCTGGATCAACTACATCACCTGTAGTGTGGCTCGCCACTACAGGTCGCACTAGTTTAAAGCATGCATGTTCTGTCCACTTTTGCCTCTAACAAGGTCTGGACAGTCCGGGCGGAGGTGATTTAATGATCCGCAGGTCCAGCTGCGCCTTTCATCATTGCCTCGCTTCTTGCGGTGAACAGAGTTCTTCTGTTACTCAACAGTTTGCTGAGCTGCTGCCAGTAGTGTCTCAATCTGTTTTTGCTGTTTGGCAATAACATCTTCTTGCCGTTTTATAACAGCTTCCCGGCTTACTTCAGCAGGAATTTCTTGAGAGACAGTCATCGTTGCGGGCTTCACCGTTAATTTCGGCACTGAACCAAACCACTGCATGGCACGATCTCGGACTTCAAAGAAGCTCAAAGCGGACATCTCCGTACTTAGTCTCCTGCTCCTTCGCTTCATTCCAACATCATTCACGGCTTCTGCAAACCTCCCTTTCAGAGCTGACTCTCTCCCTAGTTTGAAAGATTCATCCAGTTCTACGATCCTGCCATACAATTCTACTAGCTGCAATGAACAAGACACACGATCAGTGTCACCTTGTAGATACGAGTAGAATTTCTGTTGTAAGGAAGGTAGATCATCACCATCTCCAAATACTCTGAGGAGAACTCTGTAGATCTCTGTAGGGTTTTTGCTTACTGTGTCACCTCGGCCCAGAATCTCTTGCATTGCCTTGCTACTGAAACAGCAACTGAATCACCCACGACATTGCGAAACTCGATGTAACTCTTCATGTCAGACACCAATTCGTGGATACCTGGTTCGCCATATTTCCCAGTGAACTTTTCCATATTGCTGCTTGGCAATACCACCACTTTTTGGTTAGCTGCATTATTTTCCAGTCTACTTGGTTTAATTGTCTCACTTTGATCTTTAACAAGAACTCTGAGTTCTTCTAACTCAGCCGCTAGCGCAGCAATATCGACATTAGACTTATCGGTTGCCATTATCA